CTCCCTCTCTCTGACCCTCCCCTGCTCAAACTGTCTCTCTCTCTCAGAAATAAATTTAAAAATTTTAAAAATTTAAGAAAAAAACAATTAAAAAAAAAACCCAAAGAGGATATGCACTTGACCATCAGGTACCCCAGGGCATTAGCAATTCAAGATTCCTTTTATATAGTTTTAAGGTTATCTCTGATTTGGATTTGGGCTTCAGACCCCTGACAGGGCAGATAATATGCTATTCACTCTTACCCCCAGGATGCATTGGTTCCTGGCATCCACTACAAAATATAGGTGGTTTTATCAGTTATCCACTCTTGGCAGGCCCTGGCCTCCAACTTTTATAACCCTGGAGCCATGACAGTGTCAAAGATGAGTGCCTTGTTCTCAGCCTTACCATTTCCAGAAGTGGCCAGTGCCCCCAAGGGGAATAGTGACTCCAAGTTCTCCTGCATTTCAAAACTTATTCTCCTGAAATTCTGTACACACTGTAGCTTATTCATTCTGTACACACTGTTAGCTTACTGGTGCTCATCAACAGCGCATGTGTGTGTCCAGTTAATGGGAATTACCTATTTTGCCATTACTCAAAGTGGAAGCCTCTGTTATTTGTTAATTTGTCATTTTTATCTTTCCTATTTATCAGGTTGATCCTGCTGAATATATAAAACTGCAAAACAAATATTTCCAAAGGTTTTTACTTTTGGGGAAGAATCTTTTGATCTTAAAATGGTTAATCCTTAAAATGGTTCTTTTCTTTAAAACCACTATTTTCCACATATTTACTGTTATTTAGTTTCTTATTCAGAGGTGCATTGCCCATGATTTGAATTGGCTTCACTTGGTGCTCAGATATTTTCAATATCCCCTATGATTTTTAAAAAATATTTAAAAAAAAATTTTTTTTAAATGTTTTATTTATTTCTAGGAGAGAGAGAGAGACAGAGTGAGCAGGGGAGGGTCAGAGAGAGAGGGAGTCACAGACTGAAACAGGCTCCAGGCTCTGAGCTGGCAGTCAGCACAGAGCCCGACGCGGGGCTCGAACCCACAAACCGCGAGATCATGACCTAAGCGAAAGTCGGACGCCCAACCGACTAAGCCACCCAGGCGCCCCTTAAAAAATATTTTTTTATTTATTTCTAGGAGAGAGAGAGAGACAGCGTGAGCAGGGGAGGGTCAGAGAGAGAGGGAGACACAGACTCTAAAATAGGCTCCAGGCTCTGAGCTGGCAGTCAGCACAGAGCCCGACGCGGGGCTCGAACCCACAAACCGCGAGATCATGACCTAAGCGAAAGTCGGACGCCCAACCGACTAAGCCACCCAGGCGCCCCTTAAAAAATATTTTTTTATTTATTTCTAGGAGAGAGAGAGAGACAGCGTGAGCAGGGGAGGGTCAGAGAGAGAGGGAGTCACAGACTGAAACAGGCTCCAGGCTCTGAGCTGGCAGTCAGCACAGAGCCCGACGCGGGGCTCGAACCCACAAACCGCGAGATCATGACCTAAGCAAAAGTCAGACGCTTAACCGACTAAGCCACCCAGGCGCCCCTATCCTCTATGATTTTTTTGTTGAGAGATAAATTCAAATCTATCAGGACTTTAGATTTTAACTTTACAGGAATGAAATCACTATACTGGACACCTGAGCTAATATAACACTGTATACTAACTGGGATTAAAATTAAAACTTAAAAAAATAGGGGCAGGGGCGCCTGGGTGGCTTAGTCGGTTAAGCGCCCGACTTTCGCTTAGGTCATGATCTCGCGGTTCGTGGGTTCGAGCCCCGCGTCGGGCTCTGTGCTGACTGCCAGCTCAGAGCCTGGAGCCTGTTTCAGAATCTGTGTCTCCCTCTCTCTCTGACCCTCCCCGGCTCACGCTGTCTCTCTCTCTCCTAGAAATAAATAAAAATATATATATTAAAAAAAAAATAGGGGCACCTGGCTGGCTCAGTTGGAAGAGCAGGCAACTCATGATCTTGGGGTCATGAGTTCAAGCCCCGTTTGGTATAGAGACTACTAAGAAAAAAAACTTAAAAATAAACATTACAGGAAGTACATGGAACAAATTATTTAATGACACAAAAAAATAATTGGAGAGATCCAGTTATCTGGATCCAGTTAAGCGGGACATTACGACCACTGACTGGATTCCTCCACAGGTCAAAGGTCTGAAAAGATAAACTGAAAGGGCAGTATTCAAGGATAAATGCACCTGAGTAGATAAACAGAATGAACAACTCTGGACACTGACTTGAACAAAAGAGTTATGAGAGATTTGGGGGGTAACTGGAAAAGGGATTGGGTGTGTCAAAAAGCAATTTCTGCATACTGAATGAAACAAAGCAGGACAAATTTACTTTTGTAAATTTGTTTGCTTTTGACCTGCAAACCACGAATATCACAGCTATAGAAACAATGAGTTCTGAGTTGTTCATAGGCTAAGAGGGTATTTATAGGATAAATATGGAAGTCATTTGGCTTTTTTTTTCCAGCTGATTCGTTGCCTAGTGGTCTTATTTGGATCAGGGTAGCCGAGTCAAGGAAAGGAAGTCCAGACATGGCCATGAACAGACTTGGCATTTGGAGATTGGCTGGTTTCTCTACTGCTTTCTGAGATGAGCCGTAAATTCCTGTAAGATTAGGTTGTTTCCTATTTGCACCTGTGTTAACCATCTCCATTTTCTCCCTGACCTAAGAGACTCCATTTTAGTTTAGTTCTGTCACCCAACTAATGTGAGTTTGCTCCGTGGTGAATTACAGATAGAGACAACACCAAGTGGAGCTGTCACACAAAGGAAATTTTATTTGCAGCAAATAAGGAGACCACAGGGAATAAGTTCCAAAGCTGTGACTCCCCTGGCAGGGGTGAGATGTTTCTTTTTGGGGTTTAGGATGAATATTCAGTAAGAGGAGCTTTGTCATTGTATGCAAAGGTGGGCATAAGGTTGTGCATAGGTGCTTAGAAAACATGCCCATACATGCATCCTATGTTATCTTAATAAATCTTATGCTTTTGTCAGGGTGGAAACTTCAATAGTATAATGAAACAGAGATAACTGTCAGACTAGGGGAAGGGGCTATGGGCATGCTCAGAGAGTCGGTATAAACCTGGATGGGGTTTTGGGCTCTTTATCTCAGGTAAGGAACGCAAGGTCTTGCTTACTTTGGAAAGCTCCCGGGAGCTCCCTTCCATTTACTAGAAGGGATGCTGCTCATTTCACAAATGGATAAATAAAGCCAATTAGATTTTTAAATTTACTTGGCTTTTTTAAAAACACAACTCATTTTTTAAAAAGAAGTAAAAATATTTCCCTTTTAGGCATCATCAACGTTTGTATCAACTTTTTGTAAATTCTTAGCACATTGGAACCAATAGCTCATGCCATAAAACGGTGTCCAGAGCCCTTAGGTGCCGTGCAGAATAAAGGAGGCAGAGGAGTCAAACACACTCCCTTTACCTCTGTTCCTTCCCCTCCGCACAAGACACAGCGTGGAACAGCTTCGCCACCAAAACCTCCTATCTACCTACCTACCTTACGACTGTCTACCGTCTACGTTAAAATAACTGTTCAGTCGTCATTAGCACGCGTTTACTTCTCCAGGGGATTCCTGTCCAAGCAAAGTGCTTGCTTGATTGTTCAACACAGAAACGTCCACAAGGCCCATCAACTCTTCAATCTCTTCGAAAGAAAGCAACCGTTGGCACCTAAAAACTCTTGCTGTTCTCCTAAAAAGGCCTGTAGTACCGTGAGCCTTACGCGAGTCTAATCAAGTCCGCCGTCGCACTGAAAGACGCGCCTTAAACCGAACTTGCAATTCTCAGTAAATTCCAACCTTGACTTCGTGTCCGTGTCAAGGTGCCGTGTCCCTCGCGGTGGGGTTCTCCCTCACTGCGATTAGCGATAAACTCCGTTTATTATCCGACGGTGGTAATGGAGATAGCGGGGAGCCTGCATCTGATACAAGTTTGAGAGCCAGTGTACCCCAGGTTCTGCGTTAGGCGATTCAGCGCAAGTCGCTTTTAAGTTTCCAATTTTCAGCCTTCCCTTAAAAATTCTGGTTCGTTTCTTTTTCATACGACCGACTTTTTTCAACTCGCAACTATTTTCTCCTGAGCTCTAACAAATGAAGGAAACGAAAAGAAATCTGAGTTACGGCATCAGAGAGGTGACTCAACCTGCACCCACCTTAGACCCAAACAAGAACCAGCTGTGGGAATCGCGGTCCCGCAAGGCGCATTCTGGGAAATGTAGTCCAGGAATTGCGTGAAAGCAGAGGCGCTTCCCCTTGGGCATTCTGGGAAGTGTAGTCCAGGAGCCGGGTAGAGTGGAGACACTTCCGCTCTAGGAAGGCGAGGTCGGGGCCGAGATTTTTGGCTGGGAGGTGAGTTAACCCCGCGCCCCTGCGGTCCCTCCGCGCCTTCTCGGCATCGGCGTGAGGCCAGCAGCCTCCGAGTCCTCGCTCCTGGGGCAGGGGAGCCGCGGCAGGCGGCGGAGGGCGGGGACGGAGGCGGCGGCGGCGAGTGACTCCCCCGGACGAAGCCTCCGCGTCGGGGCGGGCGCGCGTGGCGTGCGGAGTTTGAAGGTCTTGCGCGCTCGTTGCGTCCGGGGCTCTCCTCACGCACCCCTCCAGCCGGCTGTGCGTGCGCCCCGCGGTAACCCAGTGGGCGAGCATCCCTGCCTCAGTTTCCCCATGCCTGAAAAGGGTTAGTGCCTGCCCAGTAGTGTTCTTCTGAGAATTAAATGAGATTATGTATGGAAAGCTTAAAACCAGTGCCTGGTGCCTAGTAAAAGGTTGGATGGTGCCAGGAATGTTGTCATAATATCGGGCCCCGTGTTATTTGGAAGCTCCTGAGTGCCCGGCGTCGGGGCGAGGGGTCGGAGCCCCGGCTGCAGCTCCACCGGCCCTTCATCGATTTCTGCGGTGGGGCCGTTCCGGGCTTCCTGGACTCTTCCCAGACCCTTGATGAGAAAGGAGAGTCATCTTCAGCTGGATCCTGGGGGAAAGTTCTCTGCAGTTTATGCCAGAGAAACAGCCCGGCTCACGGCTTCGCAGAGTGCTTGCGGTGTACTGAGTCCTTAAATGTTGAGAACGTGTAACAGGTCCGTGTTGTTAATTTAAAATGCAACAGGATTTCTTAGTCTGCGGTTTTAGTCAGTCATTGTTGGCCTTCTTGCATATGGGAGAAGAAACTTTGTTGAGGCTCTTCCAGCTTTATAACATGCTCAAGTAATTACACCTATTAAAATAGCGTCATGGGCGGCGGGGGGGCGGGGGCGGTCATGGCCGTTTATCATTAGCAGCAGAACAAATCGTCTTTGGGGCAAACGGTCAGAATTAGATTTTCCTAGGGGGCGCCTGGGTGACTTAGTCGGTTGAGCGTCCGACTTGGGCTCAGGTCACGATCTCCCTGTTAGCGAGTGAGTTCGAGCCCCAAGTCGGGCTCTGTGCCGACAGCTCGGAGCCTGGAGCCTGCTTGGATGGGGGGGGGGGGGGGGGGGGGGGGGGG